CTAAAAATGCTAAATGCGTCAAAAAAGATTGACGTTTCATATTTACTCACCTTGACGTGGATCATATTTTACGCATAGAAATCTCCCCCGCAGCCCATTCGGGTGCCCCTTCCACTCCTTACTTCACCCACTCCTTTTTTCCTTTGCAGAAAGGTTTGGCTCCAAATCCACTTGGAGTATCTTTAAACCTCCCAGAGAAGGAGACTGTGGGCGGAGGGTCGTGTTCCCAAGCCCCAGGCATCCTTGACCTAAAGGAAAGTTGTCTTTTGAAGACCCAATCGAGTAGCCGGAGCTGCAGGCTAGCAAAACCTCCGCGCCCGCGCCCGGAAGAGAGAGACCAGAGGGGTCGCACTCGCCGCCTCTTTCTTCTGCCTCTGGGCATCTTGTTCCCGTTTCTTCAAAGTGCTAAATCTTAGATCAAACACAAACGAAACAGCTGGGCGGATACCACTCCCTTCCGGGCCACCCCTCACCACCGGTTCGAGTCCTTAGAGAGGATATCTTTTTACCACCCCCATTATCCAGGGCATCCTCCCCCGGGAGTAATAAGAGGTAAAAAGAAGAGTGGAAAAATATAAACAAAAATATAGATCCCAAATATTCTGAAGAGTCAACAGACAACCACAACCACACTCCTTGCATATTCTTACTGGATAGGCAAGAAGGGGGCGAGGTACTCCACCATCACCACCACCACCCCGCCCCAACAGGGGAAAACAAACCCAGCATTTACTGCCGGGAGGCGGATGGTGCGAGGGAGGCGGGTTTGCTAAATCCTGGCGACCTAAGCCGACGAACTGGAGGCTTCAGCTTCCAAATCGTGGGCTCTGTCCTTGGTGCTGAAAGAGCTGTGCCCTACGTCCGAACTTGCTGTGCTGAAACTGTGGAATTCTGGGCCCTCAGGTCTTTACCATCTCCGCTGAGCCCAAGAGCCTGGGTTGGAGTGGAAGATAATTGGAAACAAAACCAAACCCACGAAGTCCCCAAGACTGTTTCTCTCCCCTCCTAACTGGAATGTCCATGAATGCAGGGATAATATAAGTTGCCAAGACAGTGTAAGTTCCCTGAAAACAGTGCCTGACTCCAAACATGTGATGAATAAATTTAACATATTACTAATATCTAATTAAACATTTTAAAATTAAGGACAAGCAGGAGCCTTCATTCCTCCCTTCCCTCTATATAAAGGAGAAAGGGAGGGTTATCCTCGCAGCTGGACAGACTCAGCTTTAATTTGCGATACACAGTCCTGTAGATTTCTTTCTAAGGCGAGATTATTTTATTGGCTAAAACGTTAGAGGTGAGCATTTTGGACACAGAAATCAGAAGAGGGAGTGGGTGGAAATGTCTGAGGCCACAGGTGAATGTAAACAAATCTTCCTTTCTGGGGAATCTCGGGTCTTGGGAGAAGGTGGAAGGGACAGAAGGTGAGCAGGCGTTTTCCTGGTACAGCACAGCCTGAGAGGCGCCTCCTCCGGCTGGCCTCCTAGCCCCAGAGCATCTTGAATGATTTACCACTAGCACCCAGGTCCCTGATTGACGCAACTATTTCTTTTAGGGAGACCTGAGAAGGGGGCGTGGGTGGAATTCCGAGCCTTTTTTCTTAGTAACCTGCTTTTTTCAAGCGTGGCAGAGAAGCTGCGCGGTGCGCGGTTTGGAGGGTTTTTTGCTGCGCGGAGTGGGCACGCCCACCTGCCCAGTCCTCAGCTCTAGGACTCGGAGTTGCAGTGACCCACGCCCGCCCTTCCGCATGCTCTTCCGTCTTTAAAATGTGCCCGAGGTCTTACTGTAAGATTGAGAGAGGGCAACAGTATTTTCTTTAGTATCAAGGGCAACGCGGTTATTTCAAACCTCACAACGGGAACCCTCTTACTAAATCGGACTGTATCTTCTCAGGAGGAAGGGCGGAATCTTCGGTCTCCCTTATGGAATTTTCAGTGCTTTGTAAGATTTTTGGCATTCCCACTGTGTAATGGCGAAAGGCAATAAGACATTCAGAGAGAAGAATCAGGATTCCGGTGGGCTAGCAAGGTCGAAGAAGTGTCCGTAAATAACCCCTGCCTGCAGCATCGCAACAACAAAATCATTGTGAAAACGAGGAAAGAAATCACTAGTTACACGGTGTCACCCAGACACAGTGATCAACTCTGTTTTGCCTGAAAGAAAAAGAAACTGGGGTGGAGGAAAGAGGACACCATAAATTAGAGACGAGGGTGTCTGAGGGTTGGCTTGAAAAGGCCGGAGAATAACAGCTCCGCCAGCCCCTCCAGGTGTTGACCTGGGGCGCGAGCAAAGACCCGGCCAGCACAGGGCCTCTCGGTCTCTGGCCGCATGGCGCCATCTGGTGGAAACTTTTCCGTGAACGCCTTTTTACCGCGAGGGGCTTTCGGGACACGGCAGTTCGTTCAGTCCGTCTAAATATTGCAAAAAGAGAATCCTTAAACAGCGTGAAACGAAGGGAGAGTGGAGGGGAGCGGGCCTGGGCAGAGACGGGCGGTCCGCTTCCCCCAGCCCACCCCCGGGCCACCTCTATGCTCGGGTTCCCCTTGTGTGTGGAGCGGCGCTCGTGCGTGTTATTAACCTTCAGATGTGATCAATCAGGAGGACTCCTTTCCCCATCACCAAGGGAACCAGAGCTAGGAGGGAGCGTGTAGTGCGTTGGAAATCGGACCCTTTTCTCTCCGGAGGCACTCGGTAGTGTGCTCCGGTGGAGTACTTGGGGAAGCTCCGAGCAGGATGAGAAAACTGAAGTGAAAAAGAGATGGAGTCCTCTAAGGGTCTGCGAGCTCTCCCCTCATGTCTGTGTCCTTTGCTTTTACAACAATCCTGGCTCACTAGAGAGCCAGCAAGGACATGACCCAGGGAGCGGTTTCCGCTCTAGGACGCATCACAAAGCTGGGGGAGCCGCGGGGCAAGTAACTGAGGCAAAGCTACAGCTCTTGTCTTCTCGACGAAATGGTAATGGGGGAGAGGAAAGGGAGGGAAAAGCACTCAGCGAGGCAGAATTCTTCATAGAATTTCTCTTTTCCTTCTCCTTACCCGACCCTCTGCCTAGCTCAAAAAACAGACAGTGTTGAGTACGTTCTGGATTACTCATAGGGCTTTTTCTTTTCGTTTTTCCGGGTGCAAACCCGTGATCTGGGTTTATAATCGCCCTATAAAGCTCCAGAGGCGGTCAGGCACCTGCAAGGAGCCCCGCCGCTCTGCCCACGAGCTGCCCCCGCGAGCAGCGGCCTCGTGATTCCCCTGCTGAGCCGGTCCCCGCCTCCCCACTCCGCCTCCGCCTCCCCCAAAGCCAAGCAGCCGCCTCTTCGGATCGCTCTCCTCTCTTCCAGGAGCTCGCGTGCGGGACGGTGCAAGCAAAAGACAGGCTGCAGCTGGAGGTGACGCCGGGCAGATTACGCCTGAGGCAGAGCCGGGCCGAGCCGGGCAGATTGCTGGGCGCTACGCAGAAGAGCGACAGGAGCGCGCGGCTTGCTGTCTCCCAGCCTAGGTGGGTAAGCGCGCAACCGCCGGGACCTTCCCAGTGCCCAGCCGCGACTGTTCAGCTGGGTCCTCTTCACCCGCGGTTTCATGGCCAACCCCCACCCCCAGAGTCTGCCATCTACCCTCCCAAGTCTAGAGCGTCCCGCCCGCCCGAGTCTTGGCTCCCGGTTCCTGCGCGGCGCAGAGACCTCAGCCTTCACAACCATCCTATCCCCATCAGCGAGATTCATGCCCCGGGGACGCACAGGGGCTGAGGCAGAAGTGGAGCGAGAGCGATTTTCTCCTCCGCTTCCCGGCTGCGAGCACCGGTCTCACCAACGGGCTCCTGGCCAGCAGCAGCCGAAGGCGCGACTCAGAGCGGTAACCTGTTACTTCCCCAGATACCGCTGTCTCCCAGCCGCCTGTGTTGCGGTGCGAGTGCGCGCTCGGGCAAGGTGTGGGGGTCCTATGGAGAGTGTGGAGGCGGTGGCCTGCGGGCGCTACTCTGCAGGCTCTTGTATCTACCCAGCTTCGCCCGCGCTGTCTCTGTTCCCTGGCCTTCGGAAGCCATCGCACCAAAGCCGAACGCGGAGCAGGGACGCCGCGCACCTATCCTTGTATGCCGCCTCCCGCGCGCTGGGAGCAAGTTGGTTTCTCCTGTGATGTTCCCCTTTCTTGCCTCCCTCACCCTCCCCGGGTCTGTACAGCGAGAAATACGCGGTGGAGGGGAAATACAGAAACAAGGACGGAGCCCGGTTCTTGGCTTCGAAATGGCTTAAAGCGGGTGGGGCAAGAGAGGTTCCGACTCGCTGCTTTCTGGCTGTCTGGAGTACAAGGTGACTGTATATCTTCCCCAGCCAAATCCGCAGGAGACCGTGAACACACGAACCCCCTTTTCTTCTCTCACCTTGTCTCACCAAAGTCCCCGTTCCCTGGAGCAGTTAGCCTCCTTCTTTCCAGGGAATTAGCCAGACACAACAACGGGAACCAGACACCGAACCAGACGTGCCCGCCCTGTGCGCCCTCCTCCGGCTCACACCCCCCCCCCGCCCCTCCCGACCGCCCGCCAGCCGGCTGCCGAGACCCAATAGGGCTTGTCATGGCTGGGCTAGAAAATCGCGCAGAGTCTCCCTAGCCCTCCTAGCCCAGCCGCCCGAACCCGCGCGACCGGCACTGGCCTTGGGTTCCCCTAGTCTCAGCGCTGCGCTCCAGGTCGCGCCACCGCGCCGTTAGACTGGAGAGGAGCCCGGGGCTACGTGGCGAGCGCCCGAATCCCAGAGCTCGCGTGCACGTCTCGTCCTCCCCTAGTCCCCAGCCTGGCGCACCCCAACCCAGCCCGCCAGCGGCCGTTCCTTTCGCCTCTCCCTAGCCCAGACTTCAGCCGGAGCGTCCGCGCCCCCGGCCGCTCAATCGCCTCCCGCGCGCCTGGACCCCGGAAGCCCTCCCCATACAGCTCTCGCTTCTCTTTGCAGCCTTTTCTAGTGCCCGACTGGCCGAGGACCCCGGACAGCAGAGGCGTCGGGACGACCGAGCTGATGGCGTCTTCGACCCCTTCTTCGTCCGCAACCTCCTCGAACGCGGGAGCGGACCCCAATACTACCAACCTGCGCCCCACAAGTAGGTCCTGCTCCAGTTTCCTATCAAATGGACTGTAGGAAAGATGGGGGCGCTGGGACCTGAGGAGTCTGCGCTGGCGGAAAGGGAAGGGGGAGCGCGGAGATGATGGAGGCTAGAAAGAAATGGGGCCCTGACCCAGGTCCCAGCCAAAGGTCGTTCGACTGCCAGGGATGCTAGGTGATTCCAGGGCGCTGAGAGTGGGAACCACGCAGGGTCGGAGCGGCGGCCAGCCTTCGCGGCGGCTGAAGGACGCGCGGTGAGAGTGTTGTTTTTGTTGTGTTGTGTTGTGTTGTGTATGGTTTCTTTGCTAGGTGACACGACCGGGGTCGGTGCACCGGGCTGTGTGAGGAGCTGGGAGACTCTAGCTTTGGTTGAGCCGAGATCTGACCCCTCCCCCTCTGCCTTTCCCCCTGGAAGTCTATAATCAGCGGAAATTTCGACGTTAATTGCAGCTTTTAGAAAACTCGGGGTCCCTAATTGCTCCAAATTTGCGTCGAGCTATTGACGAGTGAGGGAGAAGCCAGTGGCGAAAAAAGAGCATAAAACGTTCTGAGATTAAGCTTCGACATTTTAGACAATTAATTACATTTCAGAGAAATGTAAAAAAAAAAAGTGGGCCGCATTCTGAGTGGCAAGAAGTGGGGAGCAAGGAGGAGCCCAGAAGGTTTGCCAGGCCAGCCTTTTCCGGGGCAGGAGACCTGTCAGCAGAGTACACCTCCCAAAAAGTGAAAGGGGGAACCAGATAAAAGGTGGCCGGAAGATTTATGCTTCCCTATCCCTAGCTCGGTGTGTCTCCTCAACCCATTTCTAGAATCTGGGCTTAATTCAGATGGATTTCCTACCTCTTTGTAGAGGTGGGAAGATGGAGAAATTGTTTTCCGTTTTCCACTTTAGATTGAAATGGTCTCCCTCCAAATCTATCAGCTCCAGAGAGTAAGGGCACCAGAATTTCTGTATAAAAAGGGGGCTTAGGGATGGTACTGTGATCGGAAAGAGGGCTCATTGCTTCGCTTTTATGGCACTTTCTATAAGCTTGAGAAAACATCAATTGTTCTCAACAAGGAAGGTTGGCAGGGTGGGGGGAGGAGGGAGTGGTCAGGTAAACACTTTATCCTACCCATAGGTGCTGCCCTTGGCTTCTTGGCAGGCGACCTCCTCTTAAATTTTTAGACTGCTTTCCAGTTCCCTTTGCAGCTCCAATGCCCCACCCCCAGGGAAGCTACAATTACCCACACAATAAAGAGGGACTCAAAAGAGCCGCCAGCCTTGGTCGCTCGTGAGCCACACACTGGCCACCGGAGCTGCTCAGAACAGTCCGAGAGCAACACGAGGCTTTAGTGCCTTTGTCTGTTGCTGTGGCACAGATGGATTTCTTTTTCAGTTCTCTCCACATTTCCCGCCTCTTTTCTGCTGCCTTGGCAAGGGTGGGTATCCGTAGTGTTCATCCACCCTCGCATCCTTCACCCCCAGCACACCCCTACTTCCCAGAGGCAGCCCCCAGTGGAGCCCATGTGCCCAACCCCAGGTCCAGACCCAGTAGAGGCACTGACCTGAATTCGTTCTTGGCCTGGAGGTCGCGCCAAGGCAGAGGGAAGATCCTGAAACACAGGTTCTGAGAAGCACCTGTCTTGTTTCCTGCCCCAACAGCCCAGCCACGGTGGGTGTGAGCATCCCAGGCTGCGCTCACTTACCTGGCTCTCTACCCAGTCTCGCCTGCCCAGCTGGCTCCGCTTTTCTGTTCCTCCAAGGTCTCCTGGGAAGTGGCTTTGCTTAATTCACACAATCTTATACAACCTCTTGCTCCAGCGACCCCGCCTCTTTGCCCTAGACCACTCAGTCTTCCCTGCATCAAAGGGGCTCTCTCACTTCCTCTTCATCTCATTCCCTTTCTTTCACTGTAATCCCCAACTCTAAAAGGCAGTGCAATGGGTCTGAACTCCAACGCCATAGCTGAGTGACCTTGGAAAACGCTCCTCACCTCTCTGAGCCTCAATGTTATTATTTGTAAAATGAGTCTTAGATTAACACTCCTCTTGCTTCATAGGGTTCTGAGGATTCGGTGGGATGGCGTTTAAACTGGAAGCACTGTTCCGGGTGGAAATAGCTCTTTACCTTAAAGGTGTTGTTACTGGGGTTTAGCTTTCGCACTGATTTACTGTCTGTTGCAGGAACTCCATCTGTGACACGCTGTCTCACTGACATCGGGCTAGTTCCTCTCCCGGCTGAGGCTCTGTTGTGCCTCGGGTTTAATGGATGTCACTCTCCTTATCGCAGCCAACATTCGCGACGGGCTGAAGGCACCGGCCAGGGTGGGGGATGGGAGGGACTAGAGACGCCTTGTTGTGAGAAGTCTGAGGGGAATTTCTCGCTAGGCCCACCACACCAGGTCGCATGCGGGCTCCTCAGGCACCCCTGTACTCCTGGATGGAAGTTGAACCCTGAAGGCAGGATAGACACTGAGGTGTCTGAGAATACCTCAGCTCCTGAGTCCCCGATTTAGACCTCGAGAGAAAGTGTCTGATTGCCTTTACTTCTCGAGATGCCGGAGGGAAGGGTTAATGAGGAGCAGGTTAGGAAGAGGGGGCAGGGGATGAAGACCCCAGGCGCACTATTGTCTACTGACTCCCCCAGCCCCACTCAGGAGCAGCCAAGCGAGCCCGATCATCTAGTCAAATACTATTTTTCACCCAATTAATTCCTGAACTCTTCCGCGACCCCATTTCATGCCAGTTTATTTTAAGCTGCCACTCGGCTGGAGACCCGCCAGGAAATTATGAGACGCATTGGTCCCAGATGTCTCTTGTGTTCCCTTTCCGGGCTGCTGTGGTCGCCCTTCGAGTCTGCGGGGCAGAGACCGAGGGACAGGGCCTGAGGGTGGGTGCTGGGCAACTGAGGCGCCAGCCCTGTCCCGCTCCGCGACCCCTCGGCGGCTACCCGACTCGAATGGCTGGGGTCGCTTGGAGGCCCAGCAGAGCGCTGTTCCCTCTCTGAAGTAGAATCGGAAAGGGAGTGTGGTGGGTTCTCTGAGGGCACGCGTCTCCCTGTCAGCCCAAAGGTCAGACTCTTAGCTCGTTGGAGAAAGAGCTAGTTAATGAGGCGCACTGGCAAAGACCGGCCCCCACCGTCCCCAGAACACCTTTGCCTTCGACCGGGTCCTGGACTGTCGGAGCCTCACTGAACGCACGTCTCTTGCTTTCTAGCGTATGATACCTGGTGCGGCGTGGCCCATGGATGCACCAGAAAACTGGGGCTGAAGATCTGCGGTGAGTGAAAGGGCCCGCTGGGGCCCCAAAGGGCTTCGACGCGAGCAGGCTTGGCGGGTTTGGGAGAGAGGGATGTACGCGGAAGGGAATCCTGGCTTCTGAATGTTTTCGGAAGTGTCTACAGCCCCGACGCCGGGCTGAGAGGCTCCTCTGCGGGTCTTGATCTTTCTCTGCCCTCTCCTGACCTGTTCCCAAGGGATCTTTTCCGATAGGGTCCTGGGGTCGGGGCTCCCCTGGCTGGGGACGAGCATAGCGCCCCAGCACTACAGCCTCGCTCTTCGTGCCCCGCGCTGGGGCAGTTCTGACCGGAGCGCTCGGCCTGAGTGTCGCGAAGGTGGAGTAAAAAGGTCTGGCTTTCCTGGAGAGCAGGCCCAAGGCGAGACACACGGCTAAGACGGTGGCTAACGCGTCGTACCTCTTCCTCCTCGACCATTGCGGGTTGAAAGTGGGCTTCTCGGCTGGACATTTTTGCCCCGAGATGTCGAAACGGATTCAGATTGCGTTCTTTGAGGCCTTGGAGGCCTAAAGAAAGGATTGCCTGCAGCCCTAGGTGACCTGCCTGGAGGAGGTGCGGGCAGTGCAAGCCAGAGATTTTGCAGAGCTTGCCCTCGAAGGGAGAGGCGGGAAGGGAAAAGGAGCTAAGGGGGCGTGGGGCCGAGAGAGGGAAAGAGGGGGTGTCGGGCACGATTCGTCAGAGATAAAGGAAAATAGATCTGGAAGCTGGAGGGGACGAAAGAACAGCTCTCCAGAGATGTGAGGATCTGAAATGAAAACGCCCAAGGGGGTGTGATTTTTTTTTTTTTTTTAAGGAAAAAAAGATTTGTTCGAAGGGACACAGCTGAGTGGCTCCGGCTGAACAATGAGGACTTGCTTTCCTTGCTACATTTCACCGTCTAAAATCTCTAGCCTTATCTGGTCCAGAAAATACGGACTTCCCCGGGCAGGGGCTGGAGGGGCGGGGGAAGATTAACGAGGGGCTTATTAAAAGGCAGTCGCTCAGCTGCTGCGCTCAGGAGATAGCAGCGGCGCAGGCGTGGGCGCGTGCGCCCACCCAGCCCGGCGAGCGACCGGGGGCAGGCCGGCGAGCCCGTGGCCTCTGGGACAGAGCTTCCCGGGGCCCTGCATCCCGGGGCCCCAGGGCGGCGGCAGTTGGTGGCCTGAGCGAGAAGGCTTATTTAGCAGTTTCTGGGAGAAACCCACTCTCCCCTGCCCGACCGCGCGGCGCCCTCCCTGCGATTCTGGGGCTCCGTCCCCTTGATCCGAGGAGCAGCAATTACGGCGAGGAAGGGTTGCTCAACTCCAGGACCTAGGCGTCCTGCGGGGAAAGCCCAGCCTTGGGTTTGGCCCTCTCCCCTGCACGCGAGTCCCGGGCCGCGTCCCCTAGCGGGGGCAGCAGGCGGCGGCCGAGCTTTGTTCTATAAATAACCCCCTCCCCCCGCCGCCATTCCGGACTTAATAGCCCGTTTCGCGCCAGGTCCCTTCGGCGGCCTTGGCGCTCGGCTTCGTCAGCCGTCATTGTCATGCAGCTGGGCAAGCAGAACTGAGCGGGCCCTGGGCTCCCGCCACGGTCGAGGACGGGGGTGCGGGCGGCTGGGGCCGAGGGCTGCTTTCCCCGCGGTTCAAGCTTTGCCTGGAGGGCAGCCTTCGTTCATCCCGGTCCTGGCTTCCTGGCCTCGGTCCTGGGCGTTGCCCTCTGCTGCCCCGACTGCAGCCCCTCGGAGTCTGGGAGGAAAAAAAAAATCTAAGCGCTGCTTCGGGAGACACACCCGAAGTGCCCCGAAAGGGTAGAGGTGCGGGAGCATCCCTGGATCTGGGATTAGGTGTCCTGGAACTGGGGAGGTAGAGGCTTGCATTAACTTACCCGGAAGAGGAGCTCTGGCGGAATTTGGGGGCTACCATCCTCAGGGAGTTTCTTCTGTTTTCACCCTCCTCTCCAACACTAATTTTAAGAAAGTTGCAACCCCTGTAACAGGAGAGGGCTGGCAGCTTGCCCACGGGAAACTGGCTTCTGCTAGTATGCAAGCTTTGGGGGCCACAGGCTAGAAGGCTTTACAATACGTTCGATTCCGAAAGGAAACACCAATTGGATTTGTTTTTCCGTACTTTGAGCCAGCTTGGGCTTTCCATTTTAGTCTAGTTCCCGGAGGCAAAGTACAGTCTTTGGTTTGACCTGAATCCACAGCCGGTCCCCTCCTCCACACACAGATACCCACCCCGCTTTCATCCCATGCCTTCATAGGCTTGAAAGGTGCCGTCTTGGCCTGACACTATCCAGGTTGGTTTGACCTTTCACCTTAAGATAGTTGAGGGGACTAATGGTCATCTTCTCATTTCCAAATCCGTTGCCCTGGGTAACCCCCATTAAACGTTTCAGTGCCTTGCCAAGATTCAACCCCTTCCACTCTCCTATCCCCTCTCCTGGATCCCCACCCCCAACCAGAAAAACAAAGCTGCTAGGAAGGCCCCTGGTCTCACCGGTGGGACCCTTAGTTCTGGAGGCAGAATCGCCTGGGAGAGCAGTCAGCCAGGAGAAACCCCAGAACTTGCCAAGAGGTGGAGAGCAGGGTGGTTACAGGCATGATGGTGTGACCTAAATAGGAGATACAGGGAGCCACGAGTTCTGTTCTGCTCTGCTGACTTACTGGTGAGTGCTTGGGCGTCAACCACTTCTTTATGCCGAGCTCCCAAACTGGCTCCCAGTTACAGCCCCTGAGCTGTTTTATTTAGCCCCATGCAGTGTGTTGACATGTGTGTTTTATTTTGCGTCAGTCACCAGCTTTTAAACATAGATTTCAATTTCTCTATACTTAACGGTTTTTTGAAACTTAAAAAAAAGTGTTTGAGCTGGGGGAGAGATCTGGCAGGGTACTCATATCCCAGAGAAATCAGGAAAAGAGCCCCTTCCTCTAGGGAGATGCAATTCCACGCTGTAGCATGGGCTTGGGCTTCAGGCCTCACTTGCTCCCTTGGCCAGGTGAGCCTTATGCCAGGCTCAGTTCAAAGCCCCACTTGGAAACAGCCAGCTTGAACCCAGCGCTCTCCAATTCCTCACATTTCCCTCCAACTCCTGGGGCTGATTGGGCCTTTGAGTTTGGGGTCAGCTGTGAGGAACCAGCAGCAGAGCCCAGAGAGGCCCCACTGAGGCAAGTGAAAGAGAGCCGAAGCTGCGGTCAGCTTTGGTCAGTTGTAGCGTCTCTTTGCCTCCTAAGATTGTTAAAGTGAAAAAAAAAGAAAAAGATTGTTAAAGTGAAGTTGCTCAGTCATGTCTGACTCTTTGTGATCCCATGGGCTGTAGCCTACCAGGCTCCTCAGTCCGTGGAATTTTCCAGGCAAGAATACTGGAGTAGGTTGCCACTTCCTTCTCCAGGGGATCTTCCCAACCCAGGGATCGAACCTGGGTCTCCCACACTGCAGGCAGACAGTTTACTGTCTGATCCACCAGGGAAGCCCCAGTTATTCACAGGCTTAAAGTGAGTGAAAGTCGTTTGTGAAAGTCAGAGTTGTGTCTGACTCTTTGTGACCCCATGGACTATACAGTCCATGAAATTCTCCAGGCCACAATACTGGAGTGAGTATTTCCTTCTCCAGGGATCTTCCCCACCCAGGTATCAAACCCAGATCTCCTGCATTGCAGGCAGATTCTTTACAGTCTGAGCCACCAGGGAAACCAGGTCCTTATAGCTGAGATACAGAGCAAAAAGGAGTACAGTTTGCATCAGTCTCAGGGGCCTCTGAGGGGCTTCTGAGACCTCTTGCTAGCCAGGGAGATTGTCAAAGCACTAACCTCAGTGTTCTTGAGGACATTGTCCGGTACCTCATCATCCTTGGAGAAGCATACAGTTCCTTCCAGAACCTCTCAGAGCCCAGAGAGGCTGGGGTTATTGACCTTCTTTTGAGGCTTCCAATATTTTAGAAAACATATACCTTCCCAAAGAAGTGTTATTCTGAAAATCATATCCATTAAATGTTTATACTAGCAAATTAATGGCTTTTATTACAGATTATAACGTGGTATTGGCTCAGATGGTAAAGAATCCACCTGCAATGCAGGAGACCTGGGTTCGATCCATGAGTTGGGAGGATCCCCTGAAGAAGGGAATGGCCACCGACTTCAGTATTCTGGCCTGGAGCATTCCATGGACAGAGGAGCCTGGCAGGCTACAATCCATGGGGTTGCAAAGAGCTGGACACGACTGAATGACTTTCACCTTCATAATATAGTATAAGTTGTGCTATGCATAAGATAATTACAAGATGTATAGAACACACTAGTTCCTAGCACACTCCAGGAAGTGTGGTTCAGGAATGGGATGCAGGTTTAAAGTTGCGTTGTAATTGTCATCTTCCATTCCTATCAGGATACCTCTGGGATTACCTGTGTCAAGAACTCCTTTGGAGATAATACCCAAAGCCCAAATGCAGGTCCTGGTCCTTCCCCAGAGGAAAGGAGATGCTCAGGGGTTTCAAGGCAGAGAATTTTCCAGGGAGTGAGTCAGAGCCAACCAGAAGTCAGAGACCTGGAGAGCAGGAGTTCAGCAAGGCAGGGCCTCATCTCCATTAGGGCACATGGACATGGTCTTTTCGGCCTGAGAGATTCCACAGCTGCCAGTTCTGAGTGTAGGCGAGCAGTCTTACCCAGAAGCCAGGTGATCCTGCACCCCTCTGATAAATGAATGAGGGCTTCTGGTTTTGGACTCTAAGGGTTTGAAGGGGGAATTCAGAAAGTAGAAGAAGAGGTTAGGGAGAAGATGCAACCCCGATCTTCATATCTAAGTGTGGAGCTCTGTTATAGTGTATCCCCCTCCTTGTGGTGTCCTTTAGAGCTTTAGTGATACGTTTAAAAAGTGCTGGGAACAGTGAAAGGCCTGGTGCCTCTGCCTTTCTATTCTTCCCTCCAAAAATAGACCCTGCTTCTGCATGTGGGAGGATTCTAATCACCCCAGCCTTCCCCCTGCATCCCTCCTTCCTCCACCCCTCCCCACTGAAGTGCAGTCCTGGGGAAGTAAAGCTGAATTTCCCAGAATAACTTGCCTCTCTTCCAACCTCTTGGGACTTTCCTCCAAGCCTGCCTTGTGACATTTGTGACACCCTGAGGATCTTGGAATCTACAAATATAGCTTTTTCTTGGGGTCACCAAGAAACTCAGAACTTTCTTCCTCTTTTCAGGTTGTTGTGTTTCTAAGATTGAGACTGAATTGGAGGAGATGAGGGAAGGAACAGAAGCAGGGATGGGTGGAGGTACTGAGGGAGGAAATAGTGCTCTTGGCTGGCAGAGTCTCCAGCCCTTTCAGCTCAGCCTGCTTCTGGGTTTGCTGCTGGTAATGTTTGCACTGCTCTCCTCAAGCAGGAGAGCATTCCACCCCTTCTGAGGAGCAGAGGGGAGGGCTTTGATTCCCATCCTGGACTCAGAGTTCATCTCCATGGAGTTCTTCTCAATTTATTACATTGTTGGTCACCAGCTGCCAAACTGTAAGCTCCTGGAGAAGAGGGGATCGCTCTCATTTACCTGTATCTGTCCACCATCCTAAATGCTTAGCTTACGTCCTTTTCCACAATAGGTGCTCAATAAGTATTTATAGAATTAAATGTCACCACACATAAAATTTTAGGCTTTCTTGTCTCTCAAATACCTTTATTTAAGAGAGGGAGGGTACAGGGAAACCTGTACTTTAGGTTTGGGTCAGAAAAATTAAACTTACTTTCAACCCTGGTAGCGTTTACCTGGTGTACCCAAGGAAAGCACCTTCTCCAGTTCTCAGTGCTGGTCCTCACCTCCTCCTCCCTCTGGTTGCACAGCCCATCAACCCAATACTGGCAGCATCCTCTCTGTTTGCATCCCTTCCCTTAAAACCCCATCCTGGGGCTGGTTACTGGAGTGGAAGCTGTCCAGTTGACTTAATTCTGCGTTCACTGTCATGTTTAGAGAGGAGAATGGGCTTCACTTACTGTTTTTCTCTCTTGCATGACTGGGTCTGTGCCACTGATGACTCTTGACACTGCCCCCTCCCCGCCTGAAGGCGAGCAGTGCCAGAGCCCATTGAAAACACAGACATGCGGCTTCTTCTCAGGGGGTGTGAGCATCCTGCTTGGAGAGTCAACCTGGGCCGGCAGCTAATCCTGTGAGGCTGGGAGTTCGGTGCCCTTCCTCTGACCCAGCTTCTTGTGCTACAGGCTTCTTGCAGAGGACCAACAGCCTGGAAGAGAAGAGCAGGCTTGTGAGCGCCTTCAAGGAGAGGCAGTCCTCCAAGAACCTGCTTTCCTGTGAAAACAGTGACAAGGATGGCCGCTTCCGACGCACAGAGACAGACTTCTCCAACCTGTTTGCCCGAGGTACTCCCCACCCTTACCCCACCCTCACCCCACCCCCAGTGCTAGCCAGTAGGCTCTTTATTGGAGTTTCTTTACTTTCTCCTAAAATTTTGCTGACCTTACCAAAAGAAGTTATTATTCCCTCTGAGGCATCATGAAACTGCTTTCCCAACATCTGTTTAGAATATTCTCCCTCCTTCCACACTGTCCAGGTAGCCATCATTTGAAAGCTGGATGAGGGCAATCAGTAAAACAATCAACTCCAAAGGTACTTGCAGGGACAAATATAGATTCATAGACTGAAAATCCAGAACAAGCTTACATATAAGAAAATCCAGTGGTTCTCTTAATAGCATTTATGCTCCAAGGGTGGTGGCCACAACAACAAAATCGCCCTGTGGAAAGCTGTGTAACTGGGCCTCATGACCAAATTGCTGTCCTAAAGCTCATTTTTCTTTTGAAGATCTTTCAGTCACTATTGCTGCCCCTACAACAGTCTCAGCAGGTGCTTCCCCAGTCTTTCCCGATGAGCTCAAAGGTAAACCCATCACCACACCCTTCCATGAACTCCCCACAAGCCATGAAGGCCAAACCGGAACAGTAAACAAGACTCACAAAATATGAGAGGGATAATCTGAAGATTAGACAAAGAACTGAATAGACAAAGAACATCATTACAGCCAGTCTGATCTTGAGCTATGACTGACAGCTTCAGCTTTTCTCCATGGCTGCCTCGCCTGTCTGACTCTGCCTAACAAAAGTTAAAACACAGGGTCATGTCCTGGCATTCCAGAGGCTGAGATGCAAAGGATAAGGTCAAGAGACAGGCAGGAGTTCCCTCTCTCACCCTCCTAAGCCTCATCTTTCAGTTCTCATTTTCAGTCTAAGGACATAAAGAACCACCCTCCTCAAGGAGTCCTCAGCCTCTACCCACAGAAGCCTCACCTTCCACCAGCAATAGATCAAGCACATCATAATAACACCAAACCAAAAGCCCAGTCTCTGCGCCAGATGTTCAGAGACATACCTGGTACTAGGGCAGCAAGACAGAAGCCCTGTACATCACACACCTGAAAGGTGCCCAAATGAATAACAGTGGTATTGAGCAGTGGTAGGCTGCTCATGACTTCTCAAAGCTTTCTATTTATGAGCATATTAACTGTCAGAAAGTCTGTGAACTCCCAGGGAGTATAAGCAACCCTTCTGTGTATATGATTATGTACATTTTTCTGCAAAGATGGTACAACAGATAATGCACATATGTATTCTGGAAGGAAATTAGGCCTATAAAGATATCATGGATATTAGGGATTTCTAAGCTGAGGGAATCCAGATAGGAGTCAGGTGATAACCACTCATTGACTTTTCCCCCTCAGATCTGCTTCCAGCTAAGAACGGGGAGGAGCAAACTGTGCAGTTCCTGTTGGAGGTGGTGGACATACTCCTCAACTATGTCCGTAAGACGTTCGATCGCTCCACCAAAGTGCTGGACTTCCATCACCCCCACCAGCTGCTGGAAGGCATGGAGGGCTTCAACTTGGAACTCTCTGACCACCCCGAGTCCCTGGAGCAGATCCTGGTTGACTGCAGAGACACCCTGAAATATGGGGTCCGCACAGGTAATGTGAACGGCCAAGTGGACCTGCAGAAGCACCTTTGCCCTGCAGCAGACCTTTGCCAGTGGTCAGGATGTCAAAGTCATGTTGAAGGAGAAATACAGACCCTGGTGAAGGAAGCAGCAAAGTGCTCCCTAACTACAGAACCTCCAGAGGCACCAGCAGTTGGTGGAAGGCCCAACCCTGGCCTTGTTATTATTTATTGTTATAAAAGCCTAGCATTATTTATTGTTGTAAAAATAGACTTAAAAGATACAGATACATGGTGCTGTGTCAAGTTCTATATAGAGTTTCATTGTTGATTTTAGGTTATTCACAACCTAAAGAAAGCAGAATGGTCCACCCCTCAGTTCTTTTCTCTCTTCTGTTTTTATCCCTGCCTCATTTCTGATGAATCCTACACTTGCCTGTCCCTGAAAATGGGGAGAATTGGGCCCACTTCCTTTTCTTTTTATACTAGTTTCCTATGGCTGCTACAAACTGGGTCACTTAAGACAACAGAAATTTATATTCTCTCACAGTTCTGAATACTACAAGTTCAAGATCCAGGTGTCTGCAGGGCCATGCGTTCCCTGAAGACTCTTGCGTAGGATCCATCCTTACCTCTTCCAGCATCTAGTTGTTATGGGAATTCTCTGGCATTCCTTGTCTTGTAGATGCATCACTCAATCTTTGCTTTCACCTTCACATGACATTTTCCACGTGTGTGTGTCCAGATTTCTCTCTTCTTTCGATTAGGGGCTGCCCCAATCCAGTGCTGCCCCAATCCAGTGCGGCCCCATCTTAACTTGTTTACATCCACAAAGACCCTATTTCCAAATGAAGTCACAGGAATCAGGGGTTAACACTTGAACGTGTCTTTTATGGGAAATGGTTCAGCCCACTGCACCTTCTATTTTCCAGACCCCATGGTCACACATTGATACACTCTTCTCATTCTGTTCCATCCTGTGGAGTTTAGAGGTTCTGAGGCACCAAATGCTGTCTCCAGTGCGGAGCCCTGGAGGATAGCCTCTTTCCTCCTTTCTATGTTATAGGAACTCTCTCTACTTGGTAATCCTGGCCAAAGTACCTCAAGTTCAGAGACTTTGGGGATCTCTGTCTGGCTCTTTCTAAACCTAGGAATCAAGCAGTGGTTTCTTGTTTCTACCATCTTTCCCCGCTGCATCCTGGCTTTCCTGAGCTCTTGGACAAACAGATGAACAGGAATTGGTAGTCCATGGCATAGTTGTCACCACAGGGAAGCCCCTGGGGCCATGACTGGTAGCATCTTGTTCTTTCTCTTTCTCTCTCTCCCCTTTATTATCTTGCTTACCCTTCCTAGTCATTTGAAGATGTGACTGGGGAGGGTGTGGGAATAGAGCTGAGTAAAACTACTGGATATTAAAAACAAGGGTTATAATGAAATAATGACACTTGCCAAAGAATCCCAAACAGCTTTTGAAGTCTGCCAGCACCACTGGTATAAGGGTAGCTTCCTTGAATAACGGCAAGATGTCCAAGACTCAATTATATTACAAAGTCTGCGTTTGATTTTTAAAGAAAAGTGTGCTCATCAGTTCAGTTATATCTCACCTTGGTCTGATGGTTAGTCTGTTCCTGGACATTGTTTCACTTTTGTCTGAGGGCATTTATTAGTCTATGTCCATCTTTTGTCTTTGCTATGCAACATAATTTGGATATATTGTCAGCTGGTGTGATTGCATTTATTTATGATTCAAACCTGTATTAAAATGAAATATTTGTTTTCAAGTGAGTGTTAAATTATACATGTACATACACACACACTTATTTAAATGGACTTCAACAAAATTAGTTATTTTGTTGGCACTGACATAAGTAGAACACAGTGAACTAGTTTAAGCTATTTAGAGTAATCTACATGAATGTCTGGAATCTGGCCTTGAACTAACCCAAAGCTTACTATTTATGCTTCTTTGATTTTCTCTAAAGATCAGTGTTATTTTTCAAGGACTCTTGGAGTGCAGAGATTGGTATACTCTGCTATAAGAAGTCCTAGTCCAGATGTTCTGAATGAGTCCTCGTCACATGGAGGGAAGGGCAGACTTTCAGAGAGAGGGACTTAGACCAAGAACATTCCTACATTAGCTCTCTGACAGTTATTTCAGAGGCACAAGCAGTTTCCCCTGGAAACGCAGCAGTCAGCACATCTTTCTAACACCAGTTCTCTGTCAGACACCCCTAGGTAATCTATCGCGATGGCTCCTTCATGACAGCCAAACCTTCTGTGTGGGGCTGAGCTTCCCGTGAACGCCAAATTGGCCAAAATTTGGTAATAATCCTGAATTTGCCGTTGCCGAGAACAAAGCCTGATAAAGCTTGTGGTGGGTTGAAAAGGGCTTTTGAGTTATACAATAATATAAATTATTCTACCAACAACTCAGTGAATGAATGAGGCTGTGTCTGCCCCTATTTCACAGAGCAGATGCCAGGTCACCTCAGCAACATATGCAGTTTAACAGTCACCCGACTATATGTGGGCAAAACACACCAATGCTTGACATCATTTTGGACTGACACAGAGGCCCAGAGAGTGATAGCATGCCTTGGCATCAGCTGCAGAGCTGGCATCAGCTCTATAGGGGCATAGGCCCCCTCTGAGGCCTGCAGCCTCTTCTCCATGAGTATACCTTGACTTGGGGATTAAAGCTTGAGATGTTAAATCAAAAATTGAAATATTTATGGAGAGAAATAGGACCACCACATCAAACTTGTATTTTTAAAAAAAAACACAGCAGCAGAGCTCATCTGGAAATCAACAAGATACTGGACAGATTTTTCTTTTTATGACATTGGATTTTTAATTTAAAAGCATTATGCTTTAGAAACGTGAGTTCGAGAGATATCTTCAGTGCTAAATGTTGATAAAGGGTGGGTCAACCTGCCCTTCCTTCAGTATTCTTGGGAAGCCCTGTTAGGCCATTGGGATGGAGGTCCCATCATTGTGGCCTAGTGGAGTGGACCTTTTGAATTGAAGATAGCTTGAAAAATCTGAATATGCCTTGATACTTGTCTGTTACTCACCTCTTTAGGTCATCCTCGATTTTTCAACCAGCTCTCCACAGGATTGGATATCATTGGTTTAGCTGGAGAGTGGCTGACATCAACTGCCAATACCAATATGTAAGTCCCACATATTATTTTCATGTAAGCAACCATGCTGTCTGAGTATGGCTTGTTGGGGTAAAAGTCCAATTCCAATGGTTCTATAAAAATTTTATTACATTTGCCTTAGTTGTCTTTTCTCTTAAAATCTTTTAGGTTTATCACAGTTCTGAATTAATGGTGGATGGTTGATAAACTATATTTTAATTGAATAATGCAGTTTAATAAGAACGTGGTCATAAGAAGTAATAACCCTAACTTTTAAAGTTTAGTGTGAAACTTCATGTTAAAAGACTTAGCATTTCTTAATGATATAGCATTTCTTAATGATATGTTTAAAGAAGTCATGTTTTGGGGTATGATCTTGGTCCATTTTCCCACCCAAGCATATTGCTCCTTATCATTTAGGTCATAGTTTCTTCAAAATTAAAGGGGACTATAAAGCCACAAACCAATTTGATCAGCCTATGCTCAACTAAAAGTTCTAAAACAATTAATGTAGTGATAGTCCTTTGAAATGAATTATATATTCATTTGAAAGGAATTGTATATTGCTTTGAAAGGAATTATATGTTCCTTTTAAAATAATTGGTTGTTTTTCTGAATGTGAAATATTTTTCATACTTATTTGAGTAGGCAAAGCCAAAGTCTTCCAAAGTCTTTGTTTGTTTCTAAGTTCTTGTAAATTTATTTGAAACTGACTCTAAAGTCCTGGTGGGTAGGAGGGATGTGTGTGCAAGTAATATTTGGGTACTCTTCTGGTAATGAGCCCACCATTTCTTCTACATGCACATGCCCTCTCTGGAGACAAGGACAGATTACAGGTTGATGGAAAGTCATCATAACCTACTGAGTACTGTCTTTTCTTTAACTTTATGATAATGTTTACCACTCTGTATATCCAGACAATGATACCACATTCTATGAAAGTATCCAGAAGGAAATAATATGGTTATTACAATAATTTTTAAATGACTTTATAAAAGTTATGTGGATTTTAGTCACTAGAAATATTTGGAAAATAACTATCTACTTTTAAAGTTCGTGGTAAAGTAGATTTGAAAAATAAATTTAGCTTAAAGAGTGGTATTATTTAAAAAGAGAAATTTCATTTGACATCAAGATAGAATGTAAGTTGTTACAGTTCTAGGTATTCTATTTTTCTTAAATAAACTACTACCAGCCACAAAGCCTGAAAGGGCATTTTAAACTTATATTGATTTGTGTGTGTTCCAAAGCTGTTTAATTCTATGACTCAAAATAATTAACTACATTCAGAAAAATTTATATTAATTAAGGATTCCTGCTTTGTTTATTAATTTAAAACAATGACAAAATTTAAAAAGCAAATGTGATGAGCAAGGCCATTAGTGCTAAAAGGCATGAAAGATTAAATTGATTGAAAAACAAAATGGTTTTCCTGCTCCCTGCTTGTAAATCAAGGTTAACTTCATGGATTGTCCATGTCGGATCACTGAGGCTCTGGAGAGCTAGGCGGAATTCAGGTCAAGACACAGTCACCTGTATGATCTCCTGACAAAACCCCCTCTTCCAGTCTTCATAACCTTTGTGCTTTGTGAGATAAAAAACATCAGCAAACATAGATATCATAATATACTAATTATAACTTGAAAAAGACACTAATGCTTAATTGAACATCTCACACTAAGGAATTATTTTAATTAGAAAGTTTAGCTTTTTAAAAGAAACTTAAGTATTTAGAAAATAAATGAGAAAAATAGAGTAAAAGGTATATACACATTAAGGCCCAAGGACCCTTAATTATATATAGGCACTGAATTCACTGTGTCTTTAAATGTGTTTTCTGTAGGCCTCTTGGCTGTGATCTATATATATATATATATATATATATAGCTCAATATCAAGGTAAATAAAAGAAATTCACCCTGTTGAACCATTTATGACCACATATTCTCCTAAAAGGCTTTCCTTTAACCAAGGAGATCTCACAAATTCTCATTTTTTTTTTTTTGTATGTGTTCACAAAATCAAAGTCCCTTAGCTCTTCCCTTAGCTCAGCCATGAAATGCTAAAATATTGTCCAGCCATCTGAGGTCAAGGCCAGTCCAACTAAATGGCACATAGTAATTGCAGCTGTACTGAACAGTGGATATTTATAAAATATGATCCGATTCCAACAAATCGATCGCAAAGGTTATTTACAATTGTGAAATAGTTTCTGTCAGTTCTCAAGACAAGGCATTGTCTGAAGAAGTAATAACTATTATCTAGAAATTGTTTTAAGCCAGTTCCCCTGGAAGATCATGAAATGTGGCAGCACTGTCAGGAGCTTATGTAGAAATTTGCTCCCTTGTGACAATACCGTCTCCAACTGGGAACAGTGTTCAAAATAAGTCTAGGAAAGAATGGCAAGAAGGTCTTTTCTGGCTGAGTAGGATTTAATTAGTGATATACTCATTTTTTGATCTGCAATATTCATTGAGTTTGAGTGGCACTGGTAATAGAGAATAATAACTACATTCCTCAGTATAGTCTCTTTAAAAGAACTATCGAATGTCTCCATCCAAGTGACAAAGTATAAGGCGCCTGATGGTTAGAATAGAAGGAACATTCATGTTTATGCTTTCACACCTGCCTGTGCATTCAGCTTGGAGATCCATTCTTCCAAGCAAAGGACTCAGTGAAAATTCAAAGAAAACATCACCAGTGTGTAGCTGGTCACGGCATATACAGCTCTCTTCTTCCAAAACATGGCCACTGAGCACAACTGTGCAGGTTGAGCAGTGACCGGGTATAAACAACAGCCTGCCTTCAAGGACCTGATGACAATTCATAATCCCAGTGGCACGATCTATCACAGCCCTTTGTTGTGAGGTTATGATTTCAAGTATCTAGCACTTTATTTTCATAATAATTACAAAGAAGGAGTTTTCTATGCGGGTCATCCATCACTCTATACTGGTAGGCAGGTTGTTACAAAGGAGCCTGTAGTAGGTAGTTCTCGTTTGTTATAGAAAAGCAACTCTGATGTAAAGGACTTGGAATTCAGGCTGGAAAACACCCTAAATATGAGCTCTTGGAACAGCTCACTGAATTTCTCTGAACCTCAGTTTCTTCTTCAGAAAAAAAAAAAAATGAAGAATAATTATGTCCAGAGTAGTTCTGAAGCCTAACCAGGATACCAGTGTTAAGTGCCCAGTGCGTACAAGGTACAATGCACCCCCCAGGAAAGGCAGCCACCCCACAGGTCACTGTTGTGCATCTGCAACCCCTCCCCACTTCAACCTTTCCACTCTTTTGTTTCTGTCTCTCATCATCTCTGGACATCAGAGGGGCTCACTAAGCTCCCCCTCAGGTGTGTTATCTTTTAAGGTAACCACTATATCCATAAGGAGGATAAAATCTAAGAGGAGTGTCAAGTTAGTGAGTCAACATAGAAAATTATTTCTTCCTCTCATTAAAATAGTTCCTGTCTTAGCAGTCACCAAGGACGCAGGGTCCTTGTGCCTTTCTGATCCATATTGAGGTATGTGGCTCTCATCTTCAGTATCTGCATCTTCATGGTGCAAGCTGGCTAGTGGAGTTCTAGCCATCACTTATATGTTTTAGATCTCAGGAAGCAGTGCAGGCAGAGAAAGGAAGGACAAAGGAAGGAAAGAAAGAAAAGGAGGAGGAAGAGCAAAAGGGAAACACACTCTTTGCTTCCAAGAACCTTCTCAGAAGCTCCATATGACATTTCTCATAGCATATCTTTAGCCAGAACTTAATCTCATGGTCACACCTAGAGAAGATAGAAAATAGTCTTTGATCTGAATGAATTGCAACCCCAAATAAAATTGAATGAAGTAAGGGAAATTTTTATATTGGTTAGCAACTGGCAGATCCTGCCACCAGAGAAAATCAGCTTAACAATCAGTTTGCCTTGGTTCAGAGTTAAACCCATTGGGAAGGTGAGTTGAACTACTAAAACAGGCTGACTCACTCCCCTACTCAGAATATAGAAACTCTCCTTTAGTGTCATTCCCTGAATGTCAAAATCATACTGTTTTTAAATCCTTACTTTGAATCCTGTGTTCTTATGCTTTGACCTAGAGCTTTTGGCAGTTTTAGTGTCTTATCCTCTGATTCTGAAATATCATCCTGTACTATGACTTTGGCACCTAACCAGCTTCTTCTTAATCCATATTTGACCTTTGATCTCTTGCCTTTATCCACTTTCATCTGTCATTTACGGAAGGGGTACCGAACCTAGAGTCCTGGCTGCAAGAGAAGAGTCTCTTACAAGTGTATACACAATGATATGCATATCCTCGTTGCCTTCCTGGAGAGAGGGACTATAGCTTTCCTGGAAGTCCTAAGGGTATCTATGATCTCAGCTAAGAACCACTGCTCTAGGGTGGACTTCACAGTCTTCTCTAAGGCTTTGGGTGCAAGCAGACTCCCAGTTGTAGACATGGCCCAGGATGAGAAAGCAAGTTCAGAGGAAGTGTCAGGAATGGGGACACCACGTTAGCCCATGTGATAGGCCTGGCTGAGGATCAGCAACCATGGGGCAAGCTACCAGCTTCCAGGAGAGGATGTCAGGACTAAGGTCATGAGTCAGAGTAAGTTCAGTGTTAGCTATGGGGTTGAACTAGTCCTTCAGACCCAGGCAAGGACTGTCAAATAGCATGCAACTAAGGCCAAGATGCTGGAGTCATCATAATAAACTTCCTCCTCAAGACTGGGAATTGTGTCTTGTGACAACTTTGTCTCCTCAGTATATAAAAAGCCACTTGGCAGAGAATAGTCATTCATTAACTACTTATTGAACAGAACTAAGGCTTTTGGAATCATGAACCTGGCATAAATAAGGAACCTGAGGTTGATGAGATCAGATGGTCTTATGATCAAACTCTCTAGATTCTTCCTCCTGATCCTGAGAGTAATGGTCATATTGCTGGTAAGAAGACTAGTTCATGCAAATCTGGGGCCTAAATTGATTCAAATCATGAAGTGGACCAACCCTCTGGCCTTCCACACCATCCTTTCTCCCTTCCCTGTGTGGTTCCTGCACTGACTTGATTCTGGTCCAGCTTTCATCCAGTCCTTGACAAGGTTCTGATATTATGGTATGATTCCATTGATTCCTTGCCTTACCCTAGATAGCCTTCTCATTTGGTACTGTGAGACTCCAGCACACAGCCGGCCACCAGTACCTCTTTACAGTGCATACATTTTTGCCAACAACCGGTGGCACTGTTTATAACGCATTTGTTCAAGAATGGATAGAACCACATCATGAGTTTGCCCCTTGGTACACTCAGCAGCACAGGCTAAACCAGGAATCCTTCTCTTCTTCTTCCTTTATCAGGCCATCAGACATGAGGGAGTGTTGGTTGCTACGGTGATGGGGCTCAGAGCAGAACCAAAGCATGATTGTGACCTCCAGAGGTGATGGTAACTGAACACATGATTTCCAAGGGTCTTCCTCCTAAATTTCAAGGGTCCTCCCAAGGAAAACAGACATATTCTTTTTGAAAACAAAATTCTTCTACCAAGAGATATACCCTGAGGATCCTGCCGGATCTTTTGTCCTCTTTTACCACCATGTGATTAATTGGATTGTTTAATTTTTCTCCATGTTTAAAACTTAGTTTCTTCACCTGTGTCTTTGTACAACCATTGGTATCTCATTCTTGCAAACAGCTTTTCTGAATCATTAAGCTAACAAAAATTCCCATTAGTCCTCATCACTGGCATTCAGCCTGAATACCCTAACCAGGGATAAAATCTCCCCTTATCATTTGGCTGAGTCCATCTAGGAATCTCTCTTCGGGGAGCATGGTCTGAGCCAAGCCCACAAACTCCAATGCTTAGGAAGGCCAAGCAAAAAGAAGAAAGACAAAAAGCCTTACAGTAAATATCTTTTTGTTTTGGCTTAATTTTCTATAGACTGACCTTCTTTGATTTCTTTTAAGCCCTATGCCTTGGCACCATGATCTTGTTTCAATGACTACTCACTACACTCTGCTTGTGTTTGAATTGCTTTGAGAAGAGCGTGGCTTTCTACTTTTAAATAAAAAGTCAAAGCTGACCTACCAGTATATCTGATGCCCTCAGTCAGCTGTGTGCCAATTGACATTCTTCTTGGTTTTTTTGTAGTTGGTCATTAGAAATCATCACTTATAATTATTCTTGATAGGTATTGACTTCATAGAGTTATAGAAACCTGACTGTCCTTAGGGACCATCAGTAAAAAACTATGTAGATAATTATATTGCGATCTTTAAAATATGGTCAATATTTCCAATTATCTTCATGGTTATCTTTCAGATGTTTACATTGTTCTTAAAAGATAAACTTTGGTTCTGGGTTTTATAGATTCTACAAGTGTGAAATCGGCAGTCTCTCTTAAAAAAATGTTGCAAACAGATTTTATATAGAACTTGGAATATTTTTTTCGATTAGCATTTTCATCATCCTATACTCTTAGAAGTGAAAGGAACCCAGAAAAGTCATTTTATTTTCTTCTATTTCTCTGGGTGGACCACACCTAAGACATTCCTTTCAGATAAGAGTCTGTTTTGTTACTGACGAATCACAGAGCAGGTATTTCCACCACCTCTCTCAGTAACCCAGGCTGGTTTCTGATATTTTGTGATTAGTGACTCAGTAACACTTCTAAGAAATGGTTTTAGTGGTTTTGAACATCTTTTTTTCAAATCCAAGTGCAAAACTAAACCAGTGATCTATGTTCTCCAAATAAGTGATTTGACTTCTTTATTTTCATTTTTTTTTTCACCACCTTTCCAGGTTTACATATGAAATTGCACCAGTGTTTGTCCTCATGGAGCAAATAACACTTAAGAAGATGAGAGAGATAGTTGGATGGTCAAGTAAAGATGGTGATGGGATATTTTCTCCTGGTAGGTTTCTGTTCTCTTTTCCAGACTCTCTTCAGGGTTTGCAGTATGGATCCTTAGGATCTTTGAGAACACTAAACACAAAGTGAGTTTGTAGGAGAACTATGACCTGAAAAATATGAGTTTTCAATAGTTCTGCCTTCTTTGTCAAAGCAAAGGCTAGCAAGAATGCTACATTCTTTGTGTTCTAACCAACCAAACGCTGTTCTAAACCTGTACAAACTGACAAAGACTGTGTCTAAACCATGCTATAGAACTGTGGTCTGATGACAGCAGTTTGATTAAGCTGGGGATTAGGGAATCAAGATTATCAGTGGATTGATCAATCTTGGCCAAAATAGTATATTTACTTTAAATCTGTAGTTCAGTATAGATACAATAAGAACCTTTAAAACAAGGACAAATAATCGCGTAAGTAGGAGGGAGTTTGGAGTGGTGTCAGAGACGGCATGATTGTATATGCTGCGCTTGTGCTTAGTCATTCAGTCGTGTCCGACTGGTTGTGACTCCATGGGCTGTAGCCTGCCAGGCTCCTCTGTCCATGGAATTTTCCATGCAAAACTACTGGAGTGGATTCTCTTCTCCAGGGGATCTTCCCGACTCAGGAATTGAACCTGGGTCTCCGGCATTGCAGGCAGATTCTCTACCATCTGAGCCACTATGAGGGAAAGAAAAGAAATAAAAATTGAAATTGTCTAGGCAATTCATCCACAGAATTTGCCTGTTTAATAATAGGTAACTAATGCAAACATGATTCATTTTGTTGTCCAGACATACCTGGTGACCTCAGTTCTCCTGTCATCTTGATTTAAGTAAATATGAGTTTGATCTTATTTTAATACGCTTGGAGTTCTCCTAAATGACTCAATAACTCAGTTGGGCTGTTCTTTCAGGACACTACCCAGGCAGTGTCACTGCTTCCATAGGCTCTGTTACTCTCTCTTTCTTTGTCTTTCTGGCTCAGAGAAAAGATTCATCTTTGTCCAGTAAATAGAGCAGAATGTGGGAGCAGGAAGGTTGTAACTCACCTATCTCTGCAGCCGCCGCTTCTGCCACCTCTTACATTGCTGTCTAGGCTTCAGGTGGGACGGGCACCAGAGTAAGTGAATCATCTCCAGCCAAATTGCCTTCATGGCTTTGTTAATGAGTGTGATTATTTGTATTTCCAGGCAGAGGGACCAGAGGGAAGCTCTAGCAATAGAGAAGCCAGCAAAACCTATCAGGATATTTTCCTTCCCCTTTCTGACCTCCCTTGTCTCTTAAGATACCACATCAGCCTTTGTTGTTAAAAACAGTAATGAGGGCGTCCCAACTGCTCCCACTATGTCTTCTTGACAATAGGGGGAGCCATATCCAACATGTACAGCATCATGGCTGCTCGCTTCAAGTACTTCCCGGAAGTTAAGACCAAGGGTATGGCGGCTGTGCCCAAGCTTGTCCTCTTCACCTCAGAACACGTGAGTTGGGTGCACTTGCTCATGGACTGTGGTGTTTTCCAAGGAACTCTCTAACATCTAATGTCCAGCTTCTGTTTGTTGCAGAGTCACTATTCCATAAAGAAAGCTGGGGCTGCACTTGGCTTTGGAACCGACAATGTGATTTTGATAAAGTGCAATGAAAGGTAGGCAGGGGAGAGTGAATATTAGCTTCTTGATGTATTAAATGTGCTCATCTGTTAAATTTGTTTTATTGTGCTTAAGAACTGACTCAGTACAGTGTGCCAAGCTGCTAATGGTCTGTTGAAAATATCCGATTAAATTACTTTTTGCTGCTGCCGAAGTTTTTTTCCATGTGCAATCTCATTGATTCTTCATTTTAATTTCTCTCCTTTTATTATAATTACAGGGGGAAGATAATTCCAGCTGATTTAGAGACAAAAATTCTTGAAGCCAAGCAAAAGGTATGTACTCTATGGTATCTAAATTCTGGTGAATACAGATTTTTTTTTAAATAATCTTCTTTCTGCCTCTGACAATAAAAGTCTTTGATGATATGAGATAATTTTATTGTGTTTCTGAAATTCTTTTCTTAGATGTTTGCTTATTTTTAGCTTGTGTGATGACTTGGCTTTAAAGCTGTGTCCACAAAGTATCAATATTTTTATTTTGAAAAATGAAAAATTCAGTAATTAATCCACTGATTTTATCTTCATTGTGCAAATGATTAGTTTGATGTACTTCAATAAATCCATTATTCAAGTCCCACAAAGAGACAGCCTAATTGAGGTTTTTTTACTTGCTACTTGTTAGGTATAATCTCATTTTAACAAAAATTGTTTAAGGTTAGGATTCTATTGAGCAAATTGCTTCCATGCTTTGGCAGATGGCCCATGCTACTTGGTGAACTCAGCCACAATAAGTTCTATTAAACAGAAAAATCACACAGAACAGATATATCACAAGGCACTGCCAGGCAGCTGTCAGGCCATTTACCAACTCTTAGTTGTTTTGGTTACATTCTTGTACCTCTTTCTCTAACTGTGGTCGTTTGCCTGTGTCTCAGCAGAGGAAATAGATAGAAATGTCGCAAGAACTGAGCAAAGGGAGAGGAGGATCTCCTAGGATTCATAGATTTTCCCATGCCTGTCTGAGCTCTATTACTCTGCTTTCTTGTTTATTTCCTGTTCACACCAAAATTTTACGTATCTGCCCTGAGGGAAATAGTGCATAGATCTGTTTTCAATAACCAAACAGTGCTTCCATATTATTATTACACTTAGAACAGCACAGCTTCTAAAATGTAGTATGTCCAGATGGCATTCAGATACCCGCCATCACTCCAGACACTTATTATTACTCCGTCTTGCTTTATTGTTTGCCATAGAACATGTCACTCTTAAACATACTATTTATTTTTCTTATTTAATTTTGCTGATTGTCAGTCACTCACTATTAGAGTGCAGACTCCACGAAGACAGAAGTCTTTGTCTTTTGTGCTCACTGCTGTGTTCCCAGCATCCTCAACAGGGCCTAGCACATGAATGTCACTAAAAATATTGGTTGAATAAATGAAGGAATGAGTGAAGGCACCAATGGAGAATAGTCCCAGATATACTATCGCATATCACACCAGATTAGCTGGTCTCTGTTGGAAATGAATGCTACTGCAGTTCGTTGTGTGGAAAGGAGGGAGGTTAGAAAGACTCATCAGCCTGTCCCTCTTTTAGGGTTATGTCCCTCTGTACGTCAATGCAACTGCTGGCACCACTGTTTATGGCGCTTTTGATCCGATACAGGAGATTGCAGATATATGTGAGAAATACAACCTTTGGCTGCATGTTGATGTAAGTGCTGTAACTCAGAGTGGCCTGGGCCCTTCGAGGGGTGGAAGCAGCTCTGCTTTATGATTTTCCTCCAGCTTCTCCCATAGCCTCTTTCCCCACCACATTTCTTTCGTCCCCAGCAGGCTGTTCATGACAGGCATACACCCAGGCCTGTCTGCACCCTGGGGCTTATTCAGTCCTTCCTGGCCAATTGCTGTCTTCTATGGTTCAGCCTACAAATTCAGTTCTATCACTTTCCCAGAAAGCTTCTGTCTGAACAAATGGCTATAGAGTAAAATACAACTGATTTCAAAGGGGAAAAAAATGTAAGATACAATGTATAGAAATTGGCCATGAATCTGAATATGGACACTCAGCTATCTGCCTTCAGTCCAACCATCTATGGCATTTTTATTAAAAAGAAAGGAAGGAACGAAAAGAAAAGACCGGCATATCTGGTACATGTAGGAAAAATAAGGCTGTATATGGAAGGTGTTATCAATGAAGAGATTTTGTTCCATTTCCTAGGAACATAAGAGGTATATTTTCACATGTGTGACTGGGTGTGTTTTTTTCTCTTTCTCTCTCCATTCTCTCATGGGTTTAACTTCCCACAAGTGGACAATGGGGTGCTCTGCCCTGATATTGGACAAGTGATTACAAAGTCTGTTCCTGTGTCACATGGTATTCCAAGCTATTTGATCAACATGCATCAGGGAACCCGCAAAAATGTCCTGCTCTTGAAGGAGCAGTTGCGGAAAATCGAAGCCCACTAGGGCAGCTGCCTTCAGAGGTTTTCAGAAGCCCTTAGAGTTCTACTCTGGGTAAACTCAGATGGCAACCTCTATTTGCCAGCCTGCTCCCAGAGCCCCCCAGGGGGTCATCTCAAGTGTCCCTGGCTTTCTAGAGTACTTTAGGCCTTGGATCTCAGCTCCACAGGCTCAGCCCCATTTATCTGTATTACTTGCACGGTGACCCTGACATTAATCTGGAGGAACTTTTGAAGAAGATGTGATAAATGATGAATAGTTACAACTGCCCTTGGTGGAACAATCTGTGTGGGTTCTGTTTGTCAGAGGAGCTCATGTTTTTCACCATTTATATTCTCGTCATGTTTTGCTAGAGGTGTGGTGTGACCGGGCTCAGACTCAGGAGTGTTGATCAGGGTCCCTTTCCCTCTTTTCTCTGTCCTCACAGGCTGCCTGGGGTGGCGGGCTGCTCATGTCCCAGAAGCACCGCCATAAACTCAGTGGCATCGAGAGGTAAGCGCTGAGCACAGGGCCTCCTCCATCCAGGCCATGCAACACAGGGTGTGCTGAGTCCACTGATGTGTCTGCCCTGATCCCCAACATCTTATTCAGTTTAAGCTCACTTTTGTTCGGCAGGCATTTATTGAGCATTTACTGTATGCCAGGCACTGGGGAATCAAGGATGATGGATTTCCTAGTCAAATGAGTTTTTGCCTCAGTGAGCTCACAGTTTAGTAAAATAAAAAGACAAATAGTTAACCACACCCTGTGATAAGCCCAACAGTAGATTGATTGCAAGGTGCCTGAGCAGGAGAGAAGAGAGACTTACCAGTGTGGGCATTTGGAGGCTAAATGAGTTTGTCGAGGGTACATGAAGGGATGCTGATTTAGTTCATTCTTCCTTCTCACTAAGCTTACATTTCCCACTAAACTGAGGAAAGGGCAGGACACTCAGCATGCCTTACTTACTTATTTTCTTATTTACCATTCACATTCAGTGGGTGTTCTAACCAAATACGATTTTGACCTAACTCCTAAATATCGATCTGAAATGAGCTCACAAAGATTCATTAATTCATTCAGCAACTATTTACTGAGCACCTGTCATGAACCAGGTACCTGTCTTCAGCCCAACCACCAGGTACTCTTCTAAAAATGTGTACCTGGTACATGTTAAAAAAAAATTAGGCAATATATGGAAGGTGGTATCAACTAAAAGATTTCCCCTCCCGAATCTTACTGTCCAATGGACTAGATATTCATAAACAAAGAGATATTTCATCTGCCAGGGGGTGCTATTTTAGACAGGAGAGTCAGAGGCCCTTCTAGGGTGGTAGCGTTTCAGCAGATCCTAGGATAAACAGAGATAGAAAGACAGATACAAGGAAGAATGTTCCAGGTGGCGGGAAGGGCAAATGCAAAGGTCCTGAAGAAGGATGTTCATGGCAAGTTGGAGGAAGGACCATCATCCACCATTGTGGCTGGAGCAATGTGACAGCGGCAAGAGCAGATGAGGGTGGAGAGGTGGACCGGCAGCAGATGTCAGGGAGGCGCTCCAGTGGGTCAAGTGTTCTTACCTCTCTTGTGCCTCCCCTCCTGCCTTTCAGCTTTGAGAGGCCAATATCTGAGTGAGTGGGTGAAGCATAACTTGCTGAAGCATAGTTATATGAGCCTTAACTTGGAGGACAAGATCTTATATGTAGATGGGCCAGTCCAACTGTACTTTAAATTTCTCAGGCAATTTCTATTTTCCATCTGTGAGTCAAGGGAAAACTTGAAGCATTTTGCCCTCGACTTTTTCTTTTCTAACATTTTAAAGCACATATGTTTTCTGAAAGAAACTGAATCTACAGCATATGTTACTACTTTCCACTTGTAGCACCAAAGAATGATTTACTTCAGTCCTTTAGGACATTCAAAAAAAAATTTCAGATATTTTGTGAGATCTGTGTGTAATTGTTTAATGGTTCAGTGCATGATAACTGTGAGAAAATGGATTAAATTCACTACCTTCTCAAATATGACTTGACACTGATGCTTTTTAATGAGATAACATTGAGTCAACTTAGAACTTTTCGTAAGTCTCTTTCATAAAGATTTTCTTTATTCATGTGGTAGAAGGTACTTCAAGCCTTTCTTCTCTTTGAACAACAGTATAGACTCTATAGTCAAGTATACACTAAATTGTTTTCCCTCTATTGGACCTAGGCAAGATGAAGAGGTTAAAAATTCACAGCAGGAATTTAGCTCCAAGGAGAGCAGAGGCAGTATAATTCCAAGCCAATTGCTATGTCTGGGGAAAACATTCTTCACAGGTATTAAAGCACAGAGCCCAGCTGTGGGCTCGGCCATTGGGAAGGAGTTACCCAAGTTTTAATCATCATACATTACACTTGTTTGTTTCTATAATGTCCTAGCTAGCGCGCTCCTTAACCATTTAATTGTGTCTGACGGAGTGATGTGGTTGCTAGGAGACCATGCTTGTTAAACTACCATTGCAGACTAAACAGGCAGGATTATGTTTATTTAGCATTTAAACAATGCTACTAAGTAGTCAAAGTCTGGAATTGTCCAACTGATCCTTGCTTTTATGGGTCAGTCTTCATACTACCTTATAAGCAAGTAGGTCAGCATGACCAGTCCGTTTTATAAGTAAGAAAAGGAAGGCAGAGAGAACCTGAGTCTATTGCCTGGCAGGAGGCAGACTAGCAGAGAGGTTATGAACACTAGATTGACAGTTAGACTCCCTGAATTTGAATCTTGACTCCAACACTTCCTGGCTGTGTGACCTTGGGTGGTGTATTGAACCCTCTTGTGCCTCACTCTCTCCATCTAAAATAGAGGTGACAATAGTCCCAATATGATAGGGTTGTTGTAAGAATTAAGTATTTCAGGCATGGTTATTAGCATTATATTTACTAACTCATTTTACTAACTTTATTCAATTCCTTGAGGTAGATATTATTCTCCCCACTTTACAGTCAGGAAAACTGAGGCACAAAGGAGTTGTGTAACTTGCCCAAACCAGCAAATGTCAGAGCCAGGTTTCAGACTTAGGTAATCTGGCTTCAAAGCTTGAGTTCATAAGCATGACACCACACTGATAAAATGCCTGTAATGCTCTTGGAATACTAGGAAACATAATAAATGCTCTTCGTAAATGTTAGCTAGTATTAATAGCAGTTTTTTAGAGAAGGCAGTCTGCTACTTAGTACTCTGAGACTGCCCACAAAGTATTTATTTACCATTTATTGGTCAGTTTAGGGGGCTTCCCTTGTGGCTCAGCTGGTAAAGAATCTGCCTACAATGCAGGAGACCTGGGTTCAATCCCTGGGTTGGGAAGATCCCCTGGAGAAGGGAAAGGCTACCCACTACAGTCTTAGGTCAGTTTAGGGGACTAGGCATTGAAAACGTGCATTGACTTGAGTTGTGGGAGGTGATGGTTTCCTCAAGTGGACAGTTGCCACTTGTTGACCCCTGCAACTTCTCCTCAGAGTATCATATGCTTCTTTCAGGGCCAACTCTGTCACCTGGAACCCTCACAAGATGATGGGTGTGCTGCTGCAGTGCTCTGCCATTCTTGTAAAGGAAAAGGTCTGTCTTCCCCCTGGAGATGAGCTAGTGGCCTGCACACCCTTTAGAAGGCATGAGAAGGGGGAAGTTTGGAGGTCTTCTTACAGTACTTGTTGAGGAACTCCCAAGGCTGACAGCCTGGCTCGGCCTGCCATGGCTGTTGTTTCCCCTCTGTGTCTGCTAGGCTTCAGCTAACCCAGCACCTTCCCTTGGCTCTTGCTCTGCACAATTCCTTGTTCAGTGCTCAAGGCCCTGCCAAGGGAGGAAACTACAAGGGCATTGTTTTATTTCACATTCCTTCTCTCAAAAGTGAGAGTGATCGGCAGCTGCCACCTCTCACCTCAGGACGAAACGAGGTGGCGGGAACATACTTCAGGTTCTGAGCGTGAGTCTGTGGCCCCAAGAGCTGAAACAGATTACTCCGAACCACAACTACAAATGTCAACTCAGGGCAACCGGGAATGTTGACCAAAACGCTGTGAGTTAGTAGCCTGTTCTCTTCTTTAAGACTCTAACAATGGAACCCTGCCCTGGAGAGCTTGGTTCCTTCAGTAAAACTTTGCACGCTGAAGCATCCACAAAAGTCTGGAGAGCTTTGTTCTTTCAGTAAAACTTTTGCACGCTGAAGCATCCACAAAAGCCTGTTTCTGTCCTGTGGCAGCCACAAATGCAGATGCTCCTTACTCCACTCCTAAGCAGAGTGCCTGTTAACTTCATCTGGGAAAGGACTGGAACACCTTTTAAGGGGCACTTTGGGGAGGACAATTCTTCTTCACATGAGACTGTCCCATCCTCTGTAGGAAGTTTATATCCCCAACTCCTGCTAACTGAATGCCATAGCACTTCCCAGTCTGTGAAATAACCCAAAACAGCCACACACATTTCCAGATGCTCCTTAGAGGGACAATAGGGTGGGCGCTCATGGTTGGCATCTGAGACGAAAGATAGTTTTCCAAGTAGAGTGACAGAGGAGAAGGGGCAAAGGTTCTTCCAAGGGTGGTTTTAGAGAAGGACATCGGGACAAGTGCAAGTCCTCATGAGACATTAGAAGAAAGGTTGTATGTGACCCCAAATCCAGCGTGCCTTGTTTCCAAGCCATCCACACTTCTGTCCTGAGAATACAGATTTCCATGTGTTGATTTCCATGGCAGGGTATCCTCCAAGGATGCAACCAGATGTGTGCGGGATACCTGTTCCAGCCGGACAAGCAGTATGATGTCTCCTATGACACTGGGGACAAGGCCATTCAGTGTGGCCGCCACGTAGACATCTTCAAGTTCTGGCTGATGTGGAAAGCAAAGGTATGAAGAATGGCCTTCAGGAAATAGAGCAGAAGTATAATTTGCACAGGCTGGCTGGCAAAAGAGGGGCAAAGCTGTATCACAGATAATTCATTATGTGTGTAATCAATATCTAGATAATTGAGTTAACTGTATTTTCTTTGCTTGTGAATGAAATAACTTTATCCCTTATGTCAAATTCTCTCTCTTTCCATTCAGTCTCAATTTGAATTAGCATGACATTTTCTTTAACTTTCTCTTATAAGCACTAAAAATTTTGCCAAGATAAGGGCTTCCACGGCAGTTCTTAGGGATACTGAAATTATTTAGTGCAGATGTAGAGAAAGAGATAAAGATAAAATTACTGCATTTTTCTGTGTAAAACCCTGAGTTCTTTTATGAGGTCTCGAATCATGGGATGTATATGTCAGTTTTAAGTTCTATTTAAATAATGGCCTCTTTCATACCCTCTTCTAGAAAATGCATACTTGATTCTAAGAAATCCTAAACTGAGGCATGCTGTGTCTGCATTTATCAGTCTTTCAGGTTGCTTTTCCATGTCTAGAAGAAAAAAGCAAGCTATTGGAATTTCCCTCAAATTTTGGATGAGGAGAAGGAATACTATGTGACTATTTGTTTCAAAAGTATTTTTATGCAGTCAAGTAAAGGCAATTTTGATTTCACAGCTTTAGATCACAACCATCATTTTTCTTTATCTACTGTAAATTAATTTTAGTAAGTTTCAAGATTAGGTCTACTAATACCAAAACAACAAGGTTTTCCAGCCAAACATCTAGTGAAATGTTCTTCTGTAGGAAGAATTTGATGGATTATTAGTGTTTTTCCTCACTAAGTCATTTTGTCTTAATATAGAAATAGTCTGAATTTGATTTCTACCACAAAGTAATCACAGGTATTTTAAGCATATAAATAGCCACAAATTGCAAGAAGAGAAAGAGCCCTATGATTCAGAAATATAGTAACCACATGGCCTGTCTCTGTAATTTGTGCCTTGGTTTTGCCTAACAATAACCCCTTGAACCATCTGCCGGAAGTTTGGCTCACAGTGAATTGGTTACCAAGGTGAGATCCTGGTGTGGGCTTCATTCTCAAGAGGAAAGCGGACTGGCCCAGGCACATGCTCAGCGATGACTGCTGCTTTGCCAGTGTTGGCCTTGGCCCAGGTGCATTAGCAACCCACAAGCCTCGTGCATCTGCTCTCCTTGCTGACACCGGCCCACTCAACACCCCCCATGCTGCTGTCACTAATCAGCCATGCTGGCTTTGGAAACTCATGCTCAGTCAGTTTGTCAATACTTGGAGCTACTGCCATCTCAGGGCGTGTCCTAAGACCAGTGCTTCCCCTTCTGCATGCCTGCCTGTCACCACAAAGGGGTAACATGATGTTATGTGGAGGGTAGCCTCCCCAGGAGTGAGGGGGATGTGTTTGGTCAGGATTTCCTTCTAGGGAAGGTAGGTTCCAAAGTACTGTCTCTCCAACTCTCTGAAGAACCAGTTGGGGTTTTCTTTAACCTGTCATAGACCAATACAATAAAGATGAATTGCTAGAAGGATGAAATAGAAAGCCATACAAAATATAAACATCAGTTTTAAAAATGAGATTCAGTAGATGTAAAATTACTCTGTCAAACGGCCATAGAAGTTTCTTATTGCTTAATCTCAGGTTCTCAACTCATCTCATCATGGGCTGGTTAGTGTGTGTCCGTAGACGACAGTTTGGGTGGCAGTAGCCTAAAGCAAACCAAACATGGGCTTCGGACTCAGGCTGTGAGTTACTAGCAAGAATCTAAAAGCCCTGTTGAGGATAACTGCCCAGAGACTAGAATGCTTTCAAAAGAGATTTGGCACATGTTATCACATACAGAGCTGTGAGATAACCATACACATTCAATGAGATGGTTTTTGCTAACCATCTCCAAAAATACTCTTCTGTATATTTCTGATAGATAAAGACAGCAAAGCCCTCTCAATGCCATCACAGGGAAATGCAACTCTTCACCAACAAATATGACTTTCTTTCTTTTTAAAAAAACAGGGTACAGTGGGCTTTGAAAATCAGATCAACAAATGCTTGGAACTGGCTGAATACCTCTATGCCAAGATTAAAAACAGAGAAGAATTTGAGATGGTTTTTGATGGTGAGGTAAGCTGTCATCCTGGACTACATGTATCAAATATCTATTGATGGAAGTTTACTGAGGGACGCTTCTGAAGCTGTAGTGTCCCACATTACCAGAAGCTACTTCTGAATTTTCATTCTATGCACTCCTCATTTACTTCCCTCTGTGTTCACAAATGTTTCTTCCAGTAACGTTGGGACTTTTCCCCTTCGCCTCTTGCAGAAAGGTGTAGTTCTCAGCCAGCCCTTCATAGACAAGAGGTCTTTCCTTGGCAGGTCTGAACCCTGTATCATTCTTGGAACTTATTGTGGTGGTGTACCTCCATGAGAAAGTGTTCTTCAGTTCCAAGAAGCTCATGGGATGGATATACCGATCCTATACCCTTGTCTCCCAAGACTGGTCCTAAAATGAAGTTGTACTTTACAATAGATTCATTGTGATGAGAGCAAGATAAAATTGTCTCTGCCCTGAGTTCAGATCCACACTGCACACAGGAAGGTGCTTGTTATTCTGGTGTTGGCTGAGTGCCTGCCGTGTGTCTTGCCCCAGACTGGGAGCTTGGTTGTATGTAGAGTAGTGACAAAAACAGGTACCATCTCTCCCCTGTTGGAGCTCACAGCTGAATAAAGAAAGCTGGACTAGGAGCCAGTGCTGAATAGAAGGAATTACACTCATAATCCAGTGTAATAAAACACTGCCTGCATTCAACTCAGTCTATTTATCATGCACCTAAACTACTAGTAACACTCTGGAGAGTCGCCAAATGAACAAGAAAGAGCCCTAAGCAGTTCAAATCCATCATACAGTGCTCATGTGTTTCACCTCTGGTGCCTCACGCTCATCATTTACACTATTTTAAATGTTCCACTAGCAGGTTAAGATGAATGTGATGTCTCCAACCCATGAAAGGTAGGCACAGTGATGGCAGACAGCAACTAGGACGGAAACTGAAAAACTGTAGCAAGAATACAGTAGTACTCAAAAAGCATGAGAGTCCTTAGAGAAGGACCACTGAACAATTCAGTATATATCAGTCAGCCCTGTCTTACAGTTTAGAACCAGTACCAGTGTTCATTATAATAATCCTGAATTATCAGGAGAAGGCTTAGTATTGATAGAATAAAGTCAAAACATTCAGTACCAAAACAATTAACAATCTTTGAGCATCTTCTATATATGAGGCACTACAAAAAGGCAAGATGGATAATACCCTTTATTGAAATGACTGAAATGTAGTATTTTTAACATTTCAGTGTTCAAAGGTGGGTAACTTTAATCATCCAGAAAATTGGTTGTGGGAAATAGCTCTCTTCCCAGATATGATGGGATAAACCAGGCTTTGTTCTCCCAAGTATAGAAGTAACATGAAGCCTTTTTGAGGGATGGGGGTGGGGAGTTAGAACAGCTTTCTCTCAAGTTCTCTTAATTTTCTGTTTTGTTTTTATGCATGCTTGTTTGTGAAAATTGCTGCAGCCTGAGCATACGAACGTCTGTTTCTGGTATATCCCACAAAGCCTCAGGGGTGTTCCGGATAGCCCCGAACGACGGGAAAAGCTACACAGGGTATGGAATCTCTCCTTGTCTCTTCTAACCCTCTGCAGTTTCTCTGGCTGGTCACAACATCCTCACTCTAGGAGTCTGTCCGAACAGGAAGAAATAAAAGCTAAAGGTTTGGGGTGATACGGAGACATCTTGTTATATTCTTCTTCTTGGGTCTGAATTGTCCCCACTGTGGTTCAGATGCAGTGGGAATTTCTAGGGAATGCATCCCTGCATGAGGTTGGTGTTTGTCATCAGAGGGGCCATGTGCTGTACAGTTGAATAATATACCTATTCCTTGGAACTTCTGTACTAAACCATGTCTGTTAAAATATCTTTTATTAAGTTTGAGTCAACTCTAGTGCTGATTCATTTTAGTTACTGGTTTCTATATCTAGTTTATATGTTACTTATAGTTGTTTGTATTTAATTTATATAATATTTCACTCATCTAATCATTCAACAGATATTTGGTGAGCAGAGTTCATGTGCCAGACAGTATCCCAGGTGCTAGATTATACAGATGTCTTCATTTGTATTGTTGCCCATGTGAATTTTTCATTTTTGTTTTTGATTTTGACTTTATTATCATTGTCCTGTGTCTGACTTTATAAATTCAGTTGCACGATACTTTCTGTAGGAATGTATGATTGAGTAGACTTAAATAGTCATTAGTGGCCATCATCAAAAAAGTTACAAATAATAAGTGCTGGAGAGGGTGTGGACCAAAGGGAATCTTCCTACACTTTTTGTGGAAATTGGTGTAGCCTCTATGGAGAACAGTATGGAAGTTAGCTATAAAAAGAATGAAATAATGCCATTTGCAGCTGCATGGATGAACCTAGAAATTATCATACTAAGTGCGGTGAGTCAAACAGAGAAAGACAAATATCACATGATATCACTTAAATGTGGAATCTAAAAAATTATATAAACAAACTTATTTACACAATAGAAGCAGATTCACAAACATAAGAAACAAACATGGTTACCGAGGAAAGAGGGTAGGCGGGAAGGACAAATGAGGAGTTTAGGGTTAGCAGATATACACTGCTGTATATAAAATAAACACTAGGTCCTACTGTATAGCACAGGGAGCTATGTTCAATATCTTGTAATAACCTATAATGAAAAAGAGTCTGAAAAATAACCTGTGTATGTGTGTATAACTGAATCACTTTTCTGTCCACCCGAAACTATCACAGTATTGTCAATGAACTGTTTATGTCAATGTAAAAATTAGTCATTAGATATTAACCACTGAAGAAGTTTGGATATAAAATATTTCTTTGCCTTTGTGTCAGTGTAAATACATAATGAAAAGCAGATTGCTCTTTTTTTCTAGCTAAGAAATGGGTTGTATTATGAAAAAGAGCATGGTGTTAGTATCATTCTTGAGTTTTGTCTTGTGTTTTCCCTTACAAGGTGGCCCCGAAAATCAAAGCCCTGATGATGGAATCCGGCACAACCATGGTTGGCTACCAGCCTCAGGGGGACAAGGCCAACTTCTTCCGGATGGTCATCTCCAACCCAGCCGCTACCCAATCTGATATTGACTTCCTCATTGAGGAGATAGAGAGGCTGGGCCAGGACCTGTAATTGCCACGCACAGTACATCAGTTTCTGGGACTTCCCTTTCCCCTCTGCACTCTAGAACAAACCTCTATATGTTGCTGAAGCACATAGGCCATTTCATTGAGGGAAAATATAATATCTTGAAGAATACTGTTAAAACCTTCCTTAAGCTTATTAGAGTTAGCCAGAAATAATGTTCTTTTTCAAAAGTTGCACATTAGGAGCCCAGTATATATGTACAGTTATATATACCTCTCTCTATAAATACACATCTGTATAGTGAGTGTGGTAATAGATCACAGCATGTCTCCCACTCCAAGAAAATCCATTTTACCTTCTTCCTCAGTTACTGAGGGGCCAAACATGCCGCAAACCAGCTTGCCCAGCCACCGCAGAGAAGATGTTTTTTCAAAATGCTGTGTGTTAGGGACCAAGGAAAATGCTGTTGGCAGGCATTGACCTCACTGTCAGTATTTCACCCATCTGAAGTCATGATGGATGAGAAAAAGTGCCACTGGGTGACAAGAGTCCCACCCTCCCCATTAGTATCCTGTTAGGGGAAAACAGTAGCAGAGTCATTGTTTCAGGTGTACTATTGCTGTATATTTAGAGTTTAATTTTGTGTAGTTTGTGCATATTTCTGTTGTTTGTCCTTGGGAGGGGGAGGGGAAGAATATATGTAATGATCTCAATGACTGTTTGTAGGTAAATGAAATATTTGCTTATTTATATTCAGAGATTTACCATGTTAAAGAGGTGTCTTGTATTTTCTTCCCATTTGTAATGTATCTTATTTATATATTAATGCAGTAAGTTCTGAAAATTGTTTATGGTATTTTCGTGCACTTGTGAGCCAAAGAGAAAAGACTGAAATTAGTAAGACTTGTATTATATTAGAGTGCCCTTAAAATAATGATTTAAGCATAACTTTACCATCTATAAAAGAATTCTGATACTGTACATAACATCGTATATATGGAAATCCCGTGACTTACATAGCATCTGCTCTTCTATTACTCTTTCTGTCTGGCTGTATGTTGGGTGTTCTATATGCTTTTCTAGTAACTGTTGGGTAATAACTAGGTCTTCTGTAATTTTGTAGTAGTTCATGACCAATCTCTGTGACCCTTAGCACAAACCTAAGGCAATGTTTCTGAAGACTTTCTGAAGATCTCACACTGACCAGGCTCACAACTGTTTTGAAGAAAGGAAATTCACACTGTGCATTTTAGAGTATGCAAGAAGACTATAAATAAATAAAAATATTCTCTGTGGAGAATTTGAACAAAATTTTCCTTCACTATGTGTTTCATGCAGAAAAGAGAGCTTTCCTATTATGGTTGCTGGGATCACCATAGCCCATTCATGCTCCCCAGCTGACTTCAGGTGATGCTCACTACCTTTATTAGGTTGGGACTCAATCCACAGTCTTAAGAGTCCCAAGCCCCTTACCTAAAAATCATTGGGATTCTGATTAAATAAAATTTGCAGTTCACACTTGGAAAAAGAAAAATCATTCCTATTTTTCATTTTCCTATTCTGTATCTTGGAGTTCCATTCATTCATTCAACAAATGTTTTATTTTTCTGTTATAGGCACTGTTCTAGGACTAGAATTGCAGAAGTGTTCATGGCTGAAAAATTTTGCTTCTCGTGGGAATCTCCCACCACTTGGTATCTACAGTATCTGAATACCTCTAAGAGCACAGAATTGTGCCTTCCAGCTGCTTATGCTTCTACAGTAGGCCCAGTTCACTTCCTCAAGAAATATATTTTGGTGCTGGGTTATTATGAAATAGAGACCATTCTCTATGAATATTCTGTTAAACCATGATAATACCATCTCACTCATTTGGAATACAAGGAGTTCCCTATTTGGCACTTGTAGGGATTAAATGAGTCATTTTTAATAGCATATCAATTGCACAAGTAACCATTGTATTAAACAAACTAGACTCCATAGGAAAGTAATGTTAAAGTCACTTTTTTCCTCTAACTGTTCCTTCAGATCCCCTCTGAAGGAGGGGTGGATTGTTTCCATGCCTCTATTTGAATTCAGGCTAATCTCATAGCTTTCCTGGCCTCTCAGGCACAGAACAGCCTCATTTTAGAAACTGTTCAACTCTGTGTAATAAGCAAGCCCTCAAATTTGTATCCAGTATAGAGTTCCTCCCCTTGCTCTTGCTGATAGTTTCAGGCTGTAGTCCATTGGCGGGGCAGGGAGGGGCGTGTCCAGGGTGACAAGGCTGATGGTGAAGACACAGTCAACTTCTTTTTAAACTCTTTCCAGCTACTGTATTTTCCCATCTACAGTCAGATCTAGGGAGAGAAGGGGTCAGAGTAACAAAGTCACAATTTTAGATAACTGTTAAATTGTCAGTTGGCCTCCAGGCCCCTGGTCTATGACATTTTTTTTTTCTCATGGGACAATATTTTGAAAAGAAATTCTTAAATTAAGATATAATTAAGGTACAGTAAGATTCACTCTTTATAGTGTAATATGAGGGGAAGGGGTGGCAGGCGCCATGTCGGGCCGCGAAGGTGGCAAGAAGAAGCCCCTGAAGCAGCCCAAGAAGCAAGCCAAGGAGATGGACGAGGACGATAAGGCATTCAAGCAGAAGGAGGAGCAGAAGAAACTCGGAGCTAAAAGCAAAGGCCGCGGGGAAAGGCCCCCTGGCCACTGGTGGAATTAAGAAGTCTGGCAAAAAGTAAGCTGTTCCTTGTGCCTGAGGCACTGATGACCCTTAGTTCCATTCCTGTTTAAACACCTGGATTCCCTGCCATGATATCTGTTGCCGCCTATAGCTAGAATGAAGTGTTGTCTTGGAACCTATTGTACATTTAAGAATAAACTTTTGTATAGTGTAATATGAATTTTGACAAACCCATTCAGTAATGTAACCATCACAATACCTAGAACAGTTCCATCACACCCATAAATTCACCCACATCCCTTTGTGAGTAGCACCTTCTCCCACCCCTAATTCTTGGCAGCCTCTGATTTGCCTGTTTCTAGAGTCTTGTTTCTCCCATTTTGTAAATGGAATCATATAATATGTAACCTTTTGAGTCTGGCTTCTTTCTCCTAACACCATGCATTTGGAATTCATCCATGTTGTTGTCTGTATCATTTGTTCATGCCTCTTAGTACTGCATAGTATTCCATTTGTATGAATGTACATTTTTTTCTGTTCTCTCACATAAGGAAATTTGAGTTGTTTCCAGCCTGGGGCAATTAAAATAAAGCCACTATAAACAGTAGGGTACAGATTTTTTGTGTGAACACAGGTTATCATTTAACTTGGGTAAATAACTAGTGTAGAATTGCTTAATCATATGGCAAGAGTATGTTTATCTATGAGGTAACTAGTTCCAAAGTGGCTGTACCATTTTGTATTCTCACTAGCATTGCAGAAATTTTCTAGTTGCGCTATATTTTGCTGACATCTGGTGTTGTTGATTTTTTAAAATTTTAACAATTCTTTTGTTGTTGCTACAGCTTTATTGAAATATAATTCATATGCCATGTAATTCACTCATTTTAAAGTATATAATTCCCTGGCTTGTAAACTGTTCACACAGCTCTAAAGCCATCACTCCAGTCAAATTTAGAACATTTAATCATCCCACAAAGAAACCTCATACCCATCAGCAGACATTCCTCATTCCCATATACATATCCTCCCCAGCCCTTGGAAGCCACTACACGGCTTTTTGTCTATTCTAGACATCACATATAAATGAAATCACACAGTTATGTAGTCTTTTGTGACCAAATGTGACTTCGGATGTTTTCAAGGTTTATCTTTGATATAGCATTCATCATTACTTCATTCCTTTTATTGCTGAATAATATCCTATTGCACGGATACACTACTTTTTTTATCTCTTCATCAGTTAATGGACATTAAGGTTATCACTTTTTGACTATTTTAAACAATACTAGGCTTTGCAGTTTGGCTCAGATGGTAAAGCATTTGCCTGCAACGTGGGAGACCCGGGTTCAATCCCTGGGTCGGGGAGATCTCCTGGAGAAGGAAATGGCAACCCACTCCAGTACTCTTGCCTGGAAAATCCCATGGATGGAGGAGCCTGGCAGGCTACAGTCCATGGGGTCGCAAAGAGTTGGACACAACTGAGCGACTTCACTTTCACTATGAATATTTGTGTACAAGTCTTTGTATTGACATTATGTTTTGTATTGTTTTTACACTAATAGTGGTATCTTGCTTTGGTTTTCATTTGCTTTTTTATGGGGCACTTTTGAAAGATTCCACTGGAGTCCTTCCACCTCATTGCACATGAGGCATCAAAGTCTCTCCTCCCGTAATCACTTAGGACTCAGCCCCTCAGCCCTGGGTCCTTGGCCATCCACCTGTCCAGACCTTGTATTGGTACCCCTTCTCTAGATAGTACTCTTGGGTGGAATCTTTTAGTTAAAATCAACTATGTGGGTTACATAAGGAGGGCTTTTAAAATATACACATACAGGATAAAGAACGACTATCACAGAATACTTGAGTACCCACTGCTCAGGCCAGGAAATAAAACATCATCAGTACCTTAAGAGCTCTCCAGCTCCATAATGAATTCTTCCATAACTAGATGCTTTCCTTTCCCCAAGAACTAGATTCATTATTCTGAATTCTGTGTTAATCACTCTTGTTTTTCTATATAGTTTTAATACATATATATGAATCATTATTGTTTAGTTTTACTTGGCTTTGCACTCTATATAAATGAAATATTACAGAATATATACACTTATGACTTATCCATCTGTTCAACATTATGACTTTGTAGGGCCAGTGCTAACCCATAAAGAGCCTAAAGGCACCCCTTCCTTCAGGGATAGACATCCCTGTGCAGGTGTTTTCAGCCTGGCATGTGGAGCACATAGTAGATTCTAGCCTACTAAGCCTGCTCCCACAACCTGCAAGCACAGCCTTATGTGGCAGCCTCATGGTTTTGAGATTCACTTTTGATGATGCTATAATCCATTTTTATGGTTGTAATGCTATTTCA